GGGAGGGAGCAGCTGCTAATGTGGTGAGCTCCAGGGACACAGCACTCTGCTGGGGTGATACATTCCTTCTCCTTTTCTTTTTTTAAAATATATTTTTATTGATTTCAGAGAGGGAGAGAGAGGGAGATAGGAAGGGAGGGAGGGAGGGAGGGAGGAATAGATAGATAGAGAGAGAGAGAAACATCAATGATGAGAGAGAATCATTGATCGGCTGCCTCCTGCATGCCCCCTACTGAGGATGGAGCCTGCAACCCGGGCCTGTGCCCTGACCAGGAATCGATCCGTGACCTCCTGGTTCATAGGTGGACACAACCACCCTAACTTCCCCATTTCTAATCGGCAGCAGAAATTCCGACATGTCAGAGCCATCGGTGAGGCCAGGAGCTCACGCTTCCTGCGTGCCCGGGGCTCAGGGACAGGCAGTTGGCAGACTCTGTCTGTCTGAGGCCGCCCCACCCCACCATCTGCTTTAGTCCGGCCTCGGAGCTACGAATGGTTTCTCCATTTAGCTGAAAACCATCAAAAGAAGACTCCTGCTTTCATGACACGGGAAAATTACCCGAAACGAAACAAACCGGCCAGTGCCCACAGATACAGTTTTATGGAGCACGGCCACGCCCACTCGTCTCCACATTGTCCATGGCTGCTCGCCTGCTACAAGGGGGAGTGAGTCCTGGAGGCAGAGGCCATGTGGCCTAGGGAGGAGCCAGACGCATGAGCTGACCGGCTGCGTGGCCCCATTTCCAGGACCTTCCGGAAAAGGCCCAGTGAGGGGCACGGAGAGGAGGTCAGTGGTCCCCAAAGGTAAGGAACAGGGACACTGGACCCCAAAGGGGCAGCTGCAGACATTTCTGATCTGTGCCCTAGCTGCCCCCGCGAACCCCCACAGACTCGTGTACCAAATGGTGTGCATGTAAGGGGCGCAATGAAGGGGAAAACAGGCCTGGCTGGTTCCACACCCACAGCCGTGCAGATCCGGCAGGGCCCGGCTCTCCCTCTCTCTCTCCAGGTCTATTCGCCTCTGGCTGCAGAGCCCGGTCTCCACCGAGGACCTTTCATTCCAACAGCTGACCGCGTGCCGATAAGGACGCCACCATCTGCCTCGTGTGCACATCAGCCCAAGTCTCTCTCGGCGTCACCGTGTGCCTGCTCCTCACCATCTGCACGGACTCGACTCCCCGGGGTGCCTCCTCCTCGCCTGGGCCTGTGTCAGGGTCTTGTAGCGAGTTTCCTTCATGGGGGGCTCACTCCCTTTTCTCCACGGAGCCCCTGCCACCCGCATACCCTCCCAGACCCAGAGGGCCTCCCTGTCATTCTCACTCTTTCGTCTGCCTCACCTCCAATCTGTGCCCAAGTCTGGGACGTCTATCCCCGAGCACCTCCTCCCTCCCTTTCCTCTTCATTTCCCAGCCCTGTCATCAGCACATTCCATCTAAGGGCCCGGACACTCACCCCAGTGCAATCTCCCTCTGCCGCTCTGCGTGTCCACCCCCACTCAGCGTGTCCACCCCCTCTGCTTGTCCACCCGGCGGCTTCCACTGGCCCCACGTCTCCGAGAGGCGTGTGAGGTCTCGGTCATTTCGCAGCCGCGTCTCCCTCCACAAATCTTGGCTCCTACCATCCAACTTCTCTCAGGTCCTGAGTGTCCTGTGCCGCCTGCTTTTCCCACCTTAGCACATGCTGTTCCCAGGGCTGAAATGCCCTTCATGTAGCAGGGAGAGAGGGAGGGAAATAGAGGAGGGAGGGAGAGAAAGAGGAAGAGGGAGAGAGAAAGGGAGAGGGAGTGGGAGGAAATGAGGGAGCGTGGGGAGAGCAGGGCAGTCACAGAGGGAAGGGAGGCGGGAGTGTGGCTTTGTTAGTCTTACTGGGAATTCCTGCTGAGGACGTCGGGGCCTCATCAGACAAGAGGATTTTGATTGCCGACACCATCAAAACATGGTGTTGGGAAAAGCGTGATGGCAATATTAACAACAACCACATTCACAGTCAGGAAAGACAGACGATAATGAAGCTCTCGGGTGCACTAACAGACATGCTTATTGTGAGGGGAAAACCCAGAATATGCTAATTCCACGTCCAATCATCAACACCTATCCCACGGGGAGCCTGAGGTCCCGGTGAGTGGCTGTCGTGGAGGAAAAGCCATTTAAAGGTCGAGGGTTGAGAGGGACTTTTCATGGACAAGTTGTGTATTGAATAACCTGGAGCTGAAGATAGATTTTTAGGAAACTTTTCAGTCTATACAATTAAAATTAATTCAATAATCTGAAAGGTAGTTATTCTAAAACTTTTGAAGTTGATAATCAAGAAGTCATAATCAAGCCCTGGCCGGTACAGCTCAGTTGGTTGAGCATCAACCTATGAACCAGGAGGTCACAGTTTGATTCCCCGTCAGGGCACACGCCCGGGTTGCAGGCTTGATCCCCAGTAGGGGATGTGCAGAAGGCAGCCAACCCATATTTTTTGCTCTCACATCGATGATTCTCTGGCTCTCGCCCTTCCTCTCTCTAAAAATCAATAAAAATATTTTTAAAAAGGATTCATATTCAAAATGCTAGGAATAAAGAAGTGTGACGGAAACGACCTATCTGTTGACTTTCGGCCGTCATCTGTCAGTGCTGCTGAGCAGAAAGCCAGGAGCTGAGTGGGCGAGGGACAGTCGGCACAGCTTGCAGGTACAAACAAGAACACAGACTAGTGTTTGCCGCAGGAAATTTCTATCAGGTACTTTAACAAATCAAATAACTTAAGTGATGATATATTCTATTTCATAAAACACTGTCCTTTGAGATTTTGAAATTAATGTCCTGAGGTATAATTTACACCAGACAGAATTTTTTTTCAAAAAAGATGTACTATGCCCTGGAGTAGCATATTCTTTGCTTTATCCCCGAAGGACTAGGGCAGACAATTCACAGAAGAAAAAAATAAAACAAGGGATGCTTTAGCACGTCTCTTGCAAATCCAATCATCCTAAAACCGACAAACAAGAGGCCTCTCCATCAAATGCAGAATTAGGGAAAGATGTGCAGTGAATGATGTGCTTCTAAGAGCCATTTTTGTTTTTTGAGAACATGCCTGCAAGTCGAACACAAATAAGAGGGCGGGCGAAGAGAGGGAGAAATCATCTCACGAAAGAGATCATGACTGTGAAAATCACAGGATTTCAGGAATGATTTTAAAGACATTTTCCAACATTTGCAAAATAGAATCCTAGGGGCATAATGGATGCGCATTAAAGCCAGGGCTCAATTAAAGAGGTGCTCCCCTGGAAGGAGAAATCGCAGGGTATTTTTAGCGAGCTCCCTATAGTGAGAGAACACAGCGGCCTAAGAATGATGGCACCTGGTCCCCTGTGGTACCCCCCCCCCCCCACATGCTGCCGCCGCCTCTGAACTGAGGGCTGAGTGCAGTCCCAGCCACGCACCGGCCTCTGGTTTATCTTTAACCACCGCCCGGAGCTGCCCACCTCCCGGGCGAGGCTTCGCTCATGGGGACGCCGCAGGGTTCTGCTGCAAAGACACCAGTTTCAGGCTTCAGGAGGAGGGTTGCAACAATATCCCCAAAGAGCAGCAATGAAGAAACAGGCCCACAGGGACCAGAGATGGGGAGTCACACAGAACAACAGGCAGAGGACGTCCAAGCAAGAACTTTCCGGGGCTTCCAGGAGACACCACGATCCGGGAAGCCTCCTGCCTACTCCCAGGACATCGCCGGGGAACAGAGGAAGGCCCGGCGGAGCTATCTCAATCAAGCGTTAAAAACAATACCCTGCGAACTTGTCCTCCGTCCCGACTCACACGCCCCTGCTCTCCACAGAGCCCTGTTGGCACATGATCTCTGTATAGACTGGGGACCTGAGACCCAATTTAGTTTTGTGGGGTTTTTTAAAAATATATTTTTATTGATTCAGAGAAGAAGAGAGAGGGAGAGAGAGAGAGAAACATCAATGATGAGGAGAATCAGAGATCGATTGGCTGCCTCCTGCACTCCTCCTACTGGGGATGGAGCCCGCAACCCGGGCAAGTGCCCTTGACCAGGAATCGAACTGTGACCTCCTGGTTCACAGGTTGATGCTCAACCTCTGAGCCACGCCGGCCAGTCGGGTGACACAAGGAATCTTTAAACAGAAACCCCGTACGGCAAAGCTGCTGAGACTGTCCCCACCTGCTGGCTGCTTGTCCCCCGGAGTGAGGCTGGGGAGGGAGCAGCGATGCGCCAGAGCATGGCCACTGAGACCTGAAAACCAACGGCACCAGGAGGCCACATCGGGCCGGTGAGATAACACACACGGGTGTCTGTACGTGGCTGACTTAGCCTCACCCGCTCCTCTTCCCGTAGAGGAGAGGTGAGGTTCATCGCCACGGCGAGCAGGTCTGAGGAAGCACCGCTAAGCATGCGCCTGCGGCACAGCCCAGAGCGGGGACCGCCAGAGGGAGGATGCTTCTCGGGGACCACACCTCACTGCCCTTCGCCCACAGCAAAGACCCCTGACCTGCAGCCCTGGGCCTGCTCCCAACGCAGGTCTCTGCCCTGCCAGGTGTCCTATACAAACACACAACCAACGCACAGGAAGGGGGACCAGCGAGAAGAAACACAAAGTGGACGGTGTTCGAAGGTCTTAGGGGGAAGATCGAAACTAAACTAAATCCGGTCGCCCGGCCAGTGTAGCTCAGTGGTTGAGTGTCGAACTATGAACCAAGAGGTCACAGTTTGATTCCCGGTGGGGGCACATTCCTACGTTGTGGGTTCGATCCCCAGTAAGGGGGCGTGCAGGACACAGCCGATCACTGATTCTCTCTCATCACTGATGTTTCTCTCTCTCCCTCTCTCTTCTTCTCTGAAATCAATAAAAATATATTTAAAAACCCCCATTTATATTGACTCAATCCACTTACTACACGAATGAACCCATGTATTGTTCCTGAACCCCCTGGACCGCACCAACGCGGCTACGTGCTGTTAGTGTTGGGCCTGCAGGTGTGTGGGCCGGAACTTACAGGCAAACTGCAGCTTTGCTTCTCTGCTGACGATGGTTCCGAGCGGATTCGTAGCGAAGCACTGATAACTCCCTGAGTCTCGATCCCTGTGGGGGTTAATGACCACCAGGTCTCCTCCGTTCAGCTCGTAACGAGACTCCACGGCCAGGTTAATATCGCTTCCGTTCAGCTGCCATCTGGAGAAAAGGCAAGGATTTTTCCCTCTTAGGCTATGTATACAGCCTAAGAGAATATTGAACATATACATTAAATCAGCATTACAAAGCCCACTCAAACACCACCTCTCCTACAGACCACAGGTAACGCACGTATGGTTGCACTGATTCATAACTGCGACTCGTACACGCCCGGGGTCTTCAGCAGCAACCAAAGGCCGACGAACACAGAAACCAGGGCAGCACAGCCTCTGAAGTCAGAGACTCCTCGGGATTTCCTGAAAAGTGAGAACGACTCGGCATGCTCACCGGGGAAATCAGGCTCGGCCTGCGCCGGCCACGAGAGGTACAACGTCGAGGTAATTGCCTCGCACGCGGCAGGCGATCTCACGCTGGCCAGGAGCGGGGAAGGGCACATTTCTGTGATTTATCCAGACCGACTGGGCACATTTAATCCACTAATTGGGTAAGTGCTCAGCTATCCGTTTCCATCTGTCTGGGTAAATACCCGTCCCCAAGGCGTGCGCTGTTCTTCTAAGCCATCACAGTGCTATTTGCTGAAGAGTACACGGCGGTAAAAATCCCTAAATGTCACCCCGGGGCTCGGACCAGAACAGGCACGGGCCCCAGGGCCATATTTACCAACAGGAAGCCAGAGGGAAAAAAGGGAAGAGAAAGAAGCTGGCTGTTAAACAAGGGTTTGCAACAGGAACAGAAGGAATTTTAAACCGTGAGTACACCTGACACATCGAGGTAGATGTCACCTTCAGTTTTTTAAAAAAAATATATTTTTATTGATTTCAGAGAAGAAGGGAGAGGGAGAGAGAGAGAAAAAAATCACTGATGAGAGAGAATGAGTGATCAGCTGCCTCCTGCACGCCCCCTACTGCGGATCTAACCCATAACCTGGGCATGTGCCCTGACTGGGAATGGAGCCAGGAACTTCACGGTTCATAGGTCTATGCTCAACCACTGAGCCACATCGGCTGGGCTATTTCATTTTTCCATCACTATTTATCTCCTCTATGGCCTCTTCCACCTCCACCCAGCTCAGTACTTCCCCACAATCACCACGCTGGTGTCCCGGTCCATGAATTCTCTGTTTTTTCTTTTTGCTCAATTCCTCCACCCCCATCACAGCTGTCAGCCTGCTCTCTAGGAGTCTGTCTCTGTTTTGCTTGGTAGTTCAGTTTGTTCCTCAGATTCCACGTACTAGTACGTGTGAAATCGTGATACTCGTCTTTCTCGACTGGCTTTTCTCACTTAGCCTAATGCTCCCAGGTCCATCCATGCTATTGCAAAGGGTACAATGTCCTTCCTTTTTACAGGAGACTGGTACTCCACTGTGTCAATGCGCTCTATGTTCGCTGCAACATTATTTACAATAGCCAAGATTTGGAAGCAGCTAATTGCCCATCAGTAGATGAGTGGATAAAAAATAGTTCACCTTTAACAACTCACCCATGTCC